ACCCCGTCTCTACTAAAAATACAAAAACTTAGCTGGGCATGGTGGTGCGTGCCTGTAATCCCAGCTGCTCAGGAGGCTGAGGCAGGAGAATTGCCTGAACCCAGGAGGCGGAGGTTGCGATGAGCCGAGATCGTGCCATTGCACTCCAGCCTGGGTAACAAGAGCAAAACTCCGTCCCAAAAAAAAAAAAAAAAAAAAATAAAAGCTCAGCCCTTCCGATCAGAATCTGTATTTTAATGGTGATTATATGCACATGAGCGTTTGAAAAGTAGTGTGTCAGAGGCTTCACTCTGGACTTCCTCTCATCCCTACCCTCTCCAGGGGACAGGCTGATGAGAATTTTGGTTGCTTCCAGACCAAGTTTCACATAACCAGGTTCCTGCAATTCTCTGCCCTAAAGCTCACAGTTCACTCACATTTAAGGCATAGTGATCTTTCACTGATGCATTCCCCTTGTGTACCTGGAACCCAAATACATTTGTGACCAAGAGAAAGGCATGATGATGTGGGGAGAAGGTGTTTGGGCCTTCTGGCTGAGGGTCCATATGCAGGCTCTGAGGGCGAGGACCCTGGGGGAACAGGACGGACCCAGACCCAACAGTGGGAAGAGGGGTAGTGGGAAGTGTGTGTAGACCTAGAACCTTCAATTGCACTTTTGTTCCTAGTCAGTCTATTACCTACTTGTTCTTACAAAGCATCAAGGGTGGAGTCTGCTTCTGTGTATTTGCAGCTGATATGCCCTTTTAGTGACTCCAAAATATGTGCAGGGTGAGGGCTATAAAAATATTTATGCCTTCTAAGAATTTTTCAAATACTCAATACTAAAAGGTTAGGATAGGTTCCAAAATCATTTACCTTATCCCAAGAAGTGTCAACACTACATTTGTCAATGAAAGAAAGTGATAGCTGTTAGAATCGTTAAACATCATCTCAACTACAGGAAACTTTCGGGTGGCTATAAAATAGGTTTGTTACATTTTCTATTATCTACTTGTTCTTACAAAGCATCACACAGATAGTGGCTATCAAGATTTTGATGAAAGGGAAACCATATAGTAAATATCAAAAGCCTTAAAAATGTATATACCATTTAATCAAGGAATTTCATTTCTTGGACTATATTCTAAGGAAGATATTCAGGGATATGTGTAGAAAGTTATTAAGAATGATTTTCATCAATATAAAAATTTTTAACAGCAAACACTGGAAAAGATCAGGAATATTGAGGTATGTCATAGAATATTGTGCATGTTTTCTCTGCATATAAATATAACAGTGTTTAAAAAGAATATGTTGTGATGCAGCAAAATGTTACAGCAAAAAATAAATCTGCAAAACCAAATAAAAGACTTTGATGAGACCAGCAATCAAGAATTGCAGGCTGCCATTTCCACATACCTGATAATATAAATTTATATATAAATTGATGCTTCTCATTAAAGTCTTTGAAAAGATTTTATTTGGAAATTCTATAAAAATTCAATACTTAGTATTCCTCCCGATACTTTTTATCTTCCTTTAATACCAAAGATATAAACTGAAATTTCACAAAATTCGATATAGATACTCCAAAATCCTAACCAATGTACTATCCAGTTGTTGCCATGTTATGTGCATAATGAAGTGAAAAAGGGTAAGAAGTATGTAGCCAGCCAGACACAGCTGATGAAGAACAGCTGAGGTCCCCAAGGCAGGCAGGGTTGGGAGCGGCACTACTGCAAATGATAAGTGGTATGATTTTGGATCCAAGAATCAACTACTTCTGACTTTTATTAGATGGACATCCTTTAATAAAGTGGGTGCCCTTCCTTTACACAATTTAAAAAACAGATTTTTCTCCTCAACAGATCAGCTTCAATTTTTTTAACATTTTCCTAACATATAATTATCATCTTCTAAAGACCCAAAAGTGCTGTCAATGTGACTGAAATCAGAATGTAAATATTTTATAAACAGCTGTCAAATCTCAATCGGCAGAAAACATAAAGCCCCTGAATTGCTGTAATCTAACCACCAGGCTATATCATTTAATTGACAGATAAGACATTTTTCTAGTTTTCATTTTCCTGTCAGTATTTTTAATACATTAACACCATGTGCCATTCTGGACAGTCACTGCGATAATTCCCTTAAAGACAGAATAAACTCTGAAATGCGCTAAGGGGGATGCCTAGCACAGGAACTGAATTTTATTTCATAGAATATTTTTCACAGTCATTGTAATCTGGAATGTTTGTCACTAACATGGATTAAATACTGGCATCAAAGGAATATATCATGCCCATAAAAAAAGGCAAAAGTTTGCTCTTGGCAGTTCAATAATTTATTATTTCATTGTTTTGGGCCTTCATTCAACAAACATTTCTCATTGTGCATGTGCCAGGTTTAGCCCATAAATCAATGTAAGAGCCAAAGAACTAAGCCCTGTCGCCCAATGTCATAGATCAGAAATGCCACCGAGTAAAGATCTCTGAAACAGTCCCACCCAAGGATTCCTGCTATTTTCTATTTATACCACTGTCTGTCCCTCTGTTCTTCTTCCTAGATTGTTTCTTCATCTTTTTCTCTTTTTTTTTTTCCTTTTCTTCCCATCTAAGAAAAAGGCACATTGGGGACATCTATAAGCACTGCTTAATTTCTTTTAAGATATTTAACAGAGGGCATTTTCTGACTCTATATACATTTACTCAATAAATATTTACTAAGCCTCTTGTAGGGAGTAGGCGACGTTATAAGGACGGCGGTTTTGGCAGTGAAGGAAACAGACAAGGCCCTGCCTTCATGGAGCTTAGATTATATTATAATGGGAGATAAACAACAAATTATGAATAGGTGCAATAAAATCTTCATGTCTTACCTAAATCCCTTAAGTGACATATGTAAGTATTTTGTCCATAAGGGGTTATTTTCACATGACTTAAAACAAACAAACAAAAAAACTTCCATTTTTTAAAGGGAATTAAACCTGGGTGTCCAGGATAGTGGTTATTTAGAGAGAGTGGTTAGGAAAGGTCTTGGCAGCTGAGATTTGACTGGAAGGGTCAAGAAGTAAGAAGAGCCAGGGGCTCAGTGCCAGGCCCCCAAGATCAAAGAACAAAGAGAAACGTTCAATAAAAAAAGACAGGGAGGCTTGGAGTGTAGGAAGCAAGAGAGAAAAGTACAAGTAGAAACCAGATCATATCAGATTTATAAGTCATGTTAATGCATTTGGATTTGATTCTAAATGGAGGGGAGGGAGTTGAAGGATTTTGAGCAACTCTCAAGTAGGAGAATAACAAGATCTGACAGAGGTTTCCCAAGGCAGAAGATGGCTGTGACAGAATGTAATTTTGTGTGGTAAGAATGAAAGCCACATTGGCTAATATGAGGCTAATGTGATTGTCCAGGCACGACAAGATGATGACTTGGAGTAGAGTCATAATAAGTGAGACAAGAGATTCAGGGTGTATTTGGAAGAAATAGAAGGAAAAGGAAAATAACTGGTCACTCTTAGGTTCAATGGCCAGAAAGGAAAACTGTAGCTTTGAATAGATATCAGAGTATTTCCCTGCATTAACAATGGAGACCCAAGGAGGTCCATATTCTAAGGGAGATATTCAGGGATATGTGGAGAAAGTAATTAAGAATGATTTTTGGCTGGGTGCTGTGGCTCACGTCTGTAATCCCAGCAGTTTGGGAGGCCGAGACAGGTGGATCACCTGAGGTTAGGAGTTCAAGACCAGCCTGGCTAACATCGTGAAACCCCATCTTTACTAAAAATACAAAAAATTAGCTGGGTGTGGTGGTGCACACTTGTAATTCTAGCTACTGGGGAGGCTGAGGCAGGAGAATGACTTGAACCCAGGAGGCAGAGGTTGCAGTGAGCTGAGATCATGCCATTGCACTCTAGCCTGGACAAGAGTGAAACTCCATCTCAAAAAAAAAAAAAAAAAAAAGAAAGAATGATTTCACCAGTATTAAAATTTGTAAAGTGAGAGTTCATTGGCTGGAGCTGGGTCACACGGCCACAGGAAAAGTCTGGGAAGATGAGGATATTTTTTAGCTGGGCACTTTATTGTCCTTACAACATCAAGGTTTTGTTAGGAAGGAACAGGAGAGTGGTAAGGTTTGTCTCTGTGTCCCCACCCAAATCTCATCTCGAATTGTAATCTCCAGGTATTAAGGGAAGGGCCTGGTGGGAGGTGATGAGATCAAAGGCGGGTTCCCCATGTTGTTATCATGATAGTGAGGGAGTTCTCATGAGATCTGATGGTTTTAAAAGTGGTAGTTTCCCTGCACTTTCTCTCTCTCTTTCCTGCTGCTATGTAAGACATGCCTTGCTTCCCCTTCGCCTTCCATCATGATTGTAAGTTTACTGAGTCCTCCCCAGCCATGTAGAACTATGAGACAATTAAACCTCTTTGTTTATAAATTACCAGTCTCAGGTAGCATCTTTATAGCAAGATGAGAAGGGACCGGTACAGGGAGAATGGATTCAGGGTAGGATGGTAGCAGTGTTTGCTGGATAGATAAAACATTATTAATGATAACATCTAAGAAGGATTGAGCTTTTTCACAATGTTGCTGTTTATGTTCACAATATATTTTGTACAGCATTCTGAAGAAAGGCATCTAAATCAAGGGATAATTCTTAAGCTTCTAAGAATTAGATAAGCTATAAGGTATGTACCTAATATATGTACTGCTAATTCAAACATCTTGCACTATTTCAAAAAATTCCACATTGCTACAGTTAAATACGAATGTGCATTTGACATAAAGTTAACTTGTTTCAAATCTCAATCAACATGCCTTTATTTTAATTTTTAAACTGATGAGAAAATGAATATACTTAGCTTTATTAAGACACAAAAATAACTGAGTATGACTAATGGTAACAATTATACATCATGTTGAAAGCACCTGCTTACAAATTCTTATTCCTTGTTAGTTTGTTCTCACAGATCAGGCCATCAATCCCCCTTTTCAAGGAAGTAGCTCAACTAGAAAAAGGATCTTACCTTATTGTACCTTAGCTGAAGTTCTGACTGTCGTCTATTTGGCTGCTAATCAGAACACAAGTGCTAGAAGAGAACAAAAAGAAGGGATTAACAAATCATCAGGACCCTGGGAAAGAGAACATCAATGGGGTAAACAACACGATTAGAGGCAATGTAAAAAAATTACAGAATTTTTGAGTTGGAAGTGACTTCCTAGGTCATGGTGCCTAACCTAATGTAACTGAAGAGGACAGAGAAGGTCAGAGAAGTTAAGATACCTGTCACTGGAAAAGCAATGTGTCTACTGACTTCCTCATTCTACAGCTCCTCCCCTTCTATCTGCCTAAGCTCCATTGTAAGGAAGGGACATAGAGTGAGAAGAATAAACATAAAGAAGTTGCTCATCTCTTCATTTTACACATAGGTGATGACTGCCTTCCTCTCTTAGCAAACTGGCTAGTACGGTCTATGTTCAAAGGGAAATCCTAAGAATGTTCTCTTAGAAATATTCTAGTTGCTACCTTCTCCCAGACACTATTCAAAATACACACATGCAGTGATATTACAATTAGCCCATTCTCATACAGGAGGAAAATGCAATCTTCATGAACATCCCCTAACTCCACTTCAGACACTGAAATTCACCTTTTTGAGCTGTTCTGAGCCTGACAGCTAGGCCAGAATCTTAGGAAAGCACCTCCATAAGAAGGTTAACATAGAGAAAAAAAGAAGTGCCAGGCTCTGCAGAAGAACAGGGGAACTGTGTCATTGTGAAGGATGTGGCTGAGTTCGGAGGTCATAAAGGAACAGGAAATGCCGTGGAAGGACTTGAGGATGAGATCTCCTAATGAGATGTTGTTGAATTTTTTAAAGGAGGACCTTGAAGTTTCCACAGTGGTGAAGGTGGCATCAAATGAAAAGAGGACCGAGAGAAGTACAGGATCCTAGAGGAGCATGTGGAGGGGTTTTCTTCAGCAAGTAAGAGAGGAGCTTATTGAAGCCTCTGTGACTGTCGCCTGCAACAAGATCCCCACAGAGATGGAGAGCAAACTTCGACAGAGTTTTATAGCAATTGGATATGTAATTAACAGTGTAAAAATAAATCTGTACTTCACGTGTCTTTTAAAAGTATTAATATGCAAAAAATTTGGGGAAAAAGAGTAATTGCTCCTTCATCAGTTTGAGAAGCACTTTTATGCTCAAGGGCATTATGCTCGGCTGCCTGGATACCCCTTCTTCCTCCCGTTAGGGCCTCCCTCTCCCTCTGCTGTTGCTTGCTGTGTTGGAACTGTCCATCACGGGGTCCTGTCCCGCTTTCAGCAAGGGAGGGCATCTGACCCAAGCGAGGTCTCTCAGACCCCTCCTCTCCCAAGACACCCTTCCTCCCACCCCTCATCTGAGAAGTATGTCTTATGGAAGGAAGGGCTGGGGCTATCAATCCATGAAATCCATGCACTTTATGCCCTGAGCTGGGAAACGGAGGTTGAGAGGGTAAGTGACCATGGGTCACAACTTGAAATCAGCTTCGCCCATTCTCAGAAAATAATATTTGTGTACCTAGACCTTCAAGAGTAAATTCAACCATATCAATGCTCCCATTCTTACTACAGAAAATGATGGGAAAGTCATCAAACAACACTTCATTAGGAGGATGTGGTCATGTGTCTCCCTCATCTCTAACTAAAGAATAGACGTTTTCTGCCATTTAGGGCATGCTGATGAGCACAGAATTCCTCTTTCATTGCTAATATCCTTGTAAAATGAAATCAGCCAAAGGGCAAGTACTCAGTTAATTCTATTTAACCATGTGAAAGTCCTCTCACAGAAACCACTGTCTCGTACATAGTAGTTGCTTAGTAAATATTTACAACAGATTTTATTATTAAAAGTAATAAATGTTCATTATTACAAACACATTTGCCTAATTTACAATTAGGAACATTGCCTACCTGTTGAAATTCAGATCTTTTAAACAAGTAAATACATATTACACAAAATTAAGTCACACCATTAAAGTCAAAATAGACATAAACACTACTCAGTTATTGAAGTGTCTGCTAATAAGAATATCTTGTTCACTAAATGAATTGGGAGACAATAAATGAGACTGAACATCTTGAAGTTTCTCTTATTAAATTTCTCTAGTATCAGATTCAGAGAGACATTCATTCTAAAAACAAGCAAAGGAACTGGCTTTCATCCTAGCTGCAGATTCATTCTATTGAAAATTAATTACATGTAACATTCACTTAGAGATGAGGTTCAAATCTCAAAGTAAAGATGACAGTCATCTCCAAAACCCAGTAAACATGGATCGAAGGTCACATAATCAAAATAAGATTGGCAATTCCAGAGAATGCTGTCCTAATTATACAGTTAGCCAAATACAGAAGAAAACAAAACTAGAGACAGAATAATTAATTATGGAAGGCCAGATGAGAGGCTCTTTCAACAAGTCAACAAAATATTACTCTGATGTATGATGTCCATAAAAAAGGTACGATATTTTGCTAACTTCTTTAAAGCAGTACTGGCACGCCTTGGAAATACTGTGGTTTTTGGTATCATACCACCACAATAAAGTAAGTCACATGCATTTTTTAGTTTCCCAGTGCATATAAAAGTTACGTTTACACTATCTTGTCATCAATTAGATGTGCAATAGCATTAAGTCCAAGAAAGCAATGTACATACCTTAATTAAAAATACTTTATTGCTAGAAAATTATAACCATCATCTGAGCCTTTATCAAGTTCTAATTTTTTTCATGGATGGTTTGCCTCAATGTTGATGGGTGCTGACTGATCAGGGTGGTGGGTGCCAAAGGCTGGGGTGGCTGTGGTCATTTCTCCAAATGAGAAAACAATTAAGTTTGCTGCAGTGATTGACTCTTCTTTTGCAAAAGATTTTTCTGTAGCATATGATGCTATATATCACATTCTCAAGTAGCGTGTGATGCTGTTTGACAGCATTTTGTCCACAATAGAACTTCTTTTAAAATTGGAATCAATGCTCTCAAAGGCTGCTGCAGCTTTATCAACTAAGTTTATGTAATACTCTAAATCCTAAGTGGTCATTTTAACAATATTCACAGTATCTTCACCAAGAGTCAATTTCATCTCAAGAAAACCACTTTCTTTGCTAATTCATAAGAAGGAACTCCTCCTTCAAGTTTTATCATGAGATAGCAGCAATTCAGGCCTATTTTCAGGCTGCTGTTTCTACCACATTGGTATTTATTCTTTGTTCATTAGAGTCTTGAACCCTTCAAAGTCATCCATGAGGGCTGAAATCCACTTCCTCAAACTGCTGTCAGTGTTGATATTTTTACCTCCTTCCAAAAATCATGGATGTATTTAATAGCATCTGGCATGGTGAATCCTTTTCAGAAGGTTTTCAATGGACATTGCCCAGATCCATCAAAAGAGTCTACGGCAACTATAGTTTTATGAAATCTATTTCTTAAAATAATAAGACTCAAAAGCCAAAACTGCTCCTTGACTCATGGGCTACAGAATGACTGTTATATTAACAGGCATGAAAACAACGTTAATATCCTCCTTGTACACCTACACGAGAGCTATTGAATAACTAGATGCCTTCTAGATGAGTAGTAATATTTTTAAATGAATCATTTTCTGAGCAGTAGTTCTCAACAGTGGGCTTAAAATATTCAGTAAACCAGGATGTAAACAGATGTACTGTCATCCAGCCTTTGGTATTCCATTTATAGAGCACAGGCAAAGTAGATTTGACATAATTCTTCAGGGCTTTATGATTTTTGAAATAATAAATGGATGTTGGCTTCAACTTAACAGCTGCATTAGCTCCTAATAAGCAGGCCAGCCTGTCCTTTGAAGCTTTAAAGCCAGGCCTTGACTTCTCTCTAGCTATTAAAATCCTAGATGGCGTCTTCTTCCAACAGAAGGCTGTACAGTCTACACTGAAGATATGCTGTTTAGTGTCGCCACATTCAACAATGATCTTACCTCAGTCTTCCAGATAACTTGCTGGAATGTCTCCATCTGCACTTGCTGCTTCACCTTGTACTTTTATATTATGTACATGGCTTTTGTCCTTAAACCTTATGAATCAGCCATTGCTAGCTGCACATTTTTCTTCTGAAGCTTCCTTATCTCTCTCAGTCTTTATAGACTTGAAGAGAGTTAAAGCCTTGCTCTGGATGAGGCTTTGGCTTAAGGGAATCTGGTAGCTGGTTAAATCTTCTAGGCAGGCCACTCACACTCTCTCCATATCAGTAATAAGACTGTTTGGCTTTCTTATCATTTGTGTGTTCACTGGAGCAGCACTTTTCGTTTTCTTCATGAACTTTTCCTTTGCATTCACAACTTGGCTAACAGGTGTAAGAGGCGTCTCTTTCGGCCTGTCTCAGATCTCCACATGCCACCCTCACTCAGCTTCATCATTTCTAGTTTTTGATTGAGATATGTAACTGTTCCTTTCACTCCCTGAACACTTATAGGCTATTGTAAGGTTATTCACTGGCCTAATTTCAATACTGTTGTGACTCAGGAAATGGGGTGGGGTAAAGGGGAGGAAAAGAGATGGAGAAATGGGTGGTTGGTGGAGCAGTCAGAACACATTCATTAATTACATTTATCAGTTAAGCTTGCCATTTTATATGGGAGTGGTTGATGGCATCCCTATACAATTACAACAGTAACATCAAAGATTACTGATCCCAGATCACCATGTCAGATATAATAATAATTAACAAGTTTTAAATACTGCAAGAATCACCAAAGTGTAACACGAGACACAAAGTGAGCACGTGGGGTTGGAAAAAATGGTGCCAATGGATTTGCTGAAGCAGGGTAGCTACAGATCTTTAATCTGTAAAAATAACAGTATCTCTGAAGCACAATGAACTGAAGTGTAATAAAAAAGTATGTGTCTACTCACTTCTTTTACTATTATCCTACCACTCATACGACCATGCATATATCCTTCTCACAAAGCAGTATATACTTCTCATCAGTGCCTATGGATCTGCCTCCCTCTTTATATGAGAGAGTACATCCACCTCAGCATGGACGTACTCTAATTCATTCTTTTACTATAGA